ACTGTGACGTTGCATCGATTGAGAGATATGGTTAGAACATGTGTTACGGATGCCTAGTCATCGCCGCCCTCGACGGCTAATGTTAGCTGACATAGGGTCAGGCTGGGAAAGAGCTAGCGGCGATCAAACCAAAACATGGCGGCACCAGTCAATGAAATCTACAACAGTCAGTCTAAGCCACATAGGAAGGTGTAGACTTCCTGGTTGGGGTCATCGGGACGGTAAAAACCAATGGCTGGAAACATGGCACAAAATCGTTCTCAGTGATGGTACAGATGCATCCACTCCTTGTGACTTATGATTTCCAATGAAACTGTTTTGTTCTGCATTATTACTCTTCTTTTGTCTCACATCTCTGTTTACTGTCTCTGTTTTGCATTTCTTCTACTTTCTTCTTCGCTGGCTTTGTGTGCTCCATGGAGGGAGTGTGGCGACTTGCACTGATGCACATCGGTGCAAAGTTCTGTGTCGAAAATAGACAGATAGACAGATCCTATCAACTAATCCTTCAAAGAAGTAGTGCATGTTTTAAATCATTTATCGAAAGCTCATAAAGTATTGCTCTAAAATGTAGAGACCAGAGAGAGAGAGAGATAGAGAAAGAAGGATGATTAGTAATCACCTACCAAATATGAGCTTTCTTTTTACTGACAGGCGAAATACTCTCTACCTGTAAATAAAGACATTTAAACTTTTCATTACTGATTTGTTGTCATCCACATGAAAGCTGGTCTTTCTTTTGGTTCTGTGTCGTTGTTGTTGGTGGTCTTGTTTCTCCTTCATCTCATGAAAGTTGTTCATTTTGTTTACTGTGTGCCTATTCAATAAACAATTAGTCCTATACTCAACAATCCTCTACCTGTTTTGTGCTGTGTTTTTTTTTCGTTAAAGTATATTAGTCATGTTTCATGATACTCTGGCGCCCCCTTCCGCCCCGCGCAATGGTGAGAGAGAGAAACAGTTTGTTTTTCCTTCGAGTCGTTGTGGTGCATGTCAAAGTGATGATGAATTGATTGATGAATATAATCCTGCTGGGTTGTTGTGTGTTGTTCTCGACTCATCATCTATATATATTCATTATTTGATTATGTATGTATACATACATGCATACATACATACATACATACAGACAGACAGACAGAAGGATTCACTGATGGATTAATCATCATCAAGAACTGTCTGTCTGTCTCTCTCTCCCTCTCACTGTAACTAACTCATCATTATATTTGAAATTGAGATGTTCAAATCGAATTGATCAATTAGTCTCAGGTAGTTAGTTAGCTTTGTAACAAGTCATTCTGATAACAGGTTGGTCATTGGCGTTGGCCTGGAGCTTTGAAATTTCAAGGTTTGCCAGCCTCGCCCCGCCTAGCCTGAACTTTTGTCTTTACTAGGCTTACTTATCGGTTTAGAGAAGTTTCGGAGTGCGTCGGTAGCTGTGGATTGAAGTTCGGATCACGTGAGGTGTATGTGTGTGTGTGGTTGGCGAACATTTTACCGCTGAACTATCGATGAAATCTCGACTCCTGGTTTACCACACTGAGTGATGTAATCAGTCAGCTATGGTAGCCGTGTAGTCAGTAGATGGTTGACTCACTTTGGATATAGCCATGTACTACTGATTCAGTGATATGAGTAGTTACATACCATTCATACCAACGAGAGGTGATCTGATCTCAAATGAAATCCACAAGAGTTAGTTAGTAAGGAAGGTGTATACTTCCTGACTGGTTGGGGTCCTCGGGACGGTAAAAACCAGTGAAGGATGGAGACAATCTGTGATATGGGTGGTTTAAAATCGTTCTCATTAGGTGGCACAGATGCAGTCGCTCCTTGTGACTTATAATACCCGATAAAACTATATTGTTCTTCGGTATTACTATTCTTTTTGCCTAATATCCCCGTTTACTGTCTTTATTTTGCGTTTCTTTTTACTTTCTTTACTTGTTTTGAGTGCTACATGGAGGGAGTGTGGCGACTTGAACTGGTGCACATCGGTGCAAAGTTGTTCTTTGTTGAAACCAGTCAGTCAGTCAGTTAGATCTGATCTAAATACCGGACAGGCGTTTCGCTTGTTCGGGGCGAGAAATCAGGTGTGGTTTCAACTGATTAGAATCTCTGAGCTGAGTTAAACCAGCTACATCGATGGGGCGACCTCGATGTCGAACGAACGAAACATCCGTGCGGTGTTTAGGTCACCTCGATCTGGTTAGCAAGCAACACTACTCATCTCACTCAGTGTTAGTAGTATGCAAATATGCTTGCTTATTTTGATTATCACATTGATATGGTATCAAGCAGATCGATCATATATTGTGTAGTGATCTGAATAACTTGATTTCCAGAGGGAATTGCAGTGGGAATTCATCACCTCTTCGAACTGTGTTCACACTGCAAATTGTTAACCAATTTACAAATTGTGACCTTGATTCAATTCACGAGGAATACTCAAAAGTGATTGGATGATTTTCTTTTGTATGCGTGACCCTGGTTTCTTCAAATGAATGACTAAGCTTTCAGCAATGCACATAGGAGACTAAAGCGTATTACCTTTGGTCGGTTGTTCTTCACTTTGTAGATCACTCTGAAGTAGGAGGCGTTTGTTGAGATGGAATGAGCAGTGTCGGCAAGGTGTTCGTTTATAACACGCCTTATTGATGATGCACTGTTACCTTTTCCGTAGCCAATCGGGACTCTTTTAGATAAAACACTCATCGAACGAATTATATATCTCGCTCCACATGAGCAAGTCAATTGGAAGATACACATAGAAGTGGTCAAATGCGATAGTTTGTTTTTGGAGTTGTTGAAGAATAATGGGTGGCTTGAGAATACCAATCCTAATGTAGCAGCAAAGAATGTTCTTTTCAGGCCGTTAGATATTCTCCTCCTTAGGACGTCGCTCAGAAGTTCACCTTTGAACGCCACATTAATGTACAGCATCTTCTTTGGCACAGAGATGGATTGTTCTTTGTTGATTTTCAGTTCTATGTGTTTATCTATAAAACGTGGTGGTGGTGGTGGTGGGTGGGATAGCCATCCTCAGGTAGTATCTTCCTCAAAAGAGTGATTTCTTCTTCTGACTTAGGGTTGCATATTCTACGGATTCCAGTCGCAAGAAATATTATCAGATTCCGCTTGTGATTGATGAGTGCTCAACTGTAAAAGTTTGTCAGTTGGCCGTTCCGCGTAGGCTTTCCATATATTGTGATCTCTTTGGAGTCTCATCAGTCTTTTATGTTAGTCGGACGTCCAGAAATGAGATAGTCTCTTCGGTTTCTGTTTCAATTGTAAATTTAATGGCATTAGTGACATTGGTTATCACATTTGATAAACTTGTAATCGACGTGCCTTTTGTACCTTGCCAATACGTACCAATCTTTACCCCCCTCCCTGTAGTTACTATTTTGATTACTCATCACACTTTTTGAAACACTTTGATGACGTAAACAATAACCCTAAACTTATTTGTATTTTTGTTTGACAATCCTAATGTACACACACACACACACAATAATTATATACAATGGCGGATTGTACAGCTAGCTAAGTGTGAATGAATTCGCTAGCGAAACAGAGACTCTTCACTGAACTGTTTGTTCTTATATTCAATTCGATGTAATTTATTGAATTGAATTTTAAATTTCCCGTCGATTGCTTGGACCGAAGTGCTCGGTCTCAGGATGACATGTCGGTACATCCGGTTGATGAGTCCCAAATAGGACAGTTGTAATGCGCGTTGTCCTGGATTCCACTGCTAGTCACCCACCATCCACCAATTAACTTCTAACTGGGTGTAATTTAGTTTAGAATTCTTTCTAATAGGATTGTTTTCATGCCCTTTTTCCTTTTTTTATAGGTAAATTTTTTCTTTTGATAAAGTCTCACAGTGTGTTTGTTATACAGTAATGTTTACTGATGACAAGGTGTCGAGCACAATTTACTGCCGCTCATAATCACATCAAGGCACTACTCACACGACTTCCTAAGTTCATGTATATTTTTCTAATATTTTTTGATTACAGCTTGATTCCACACCGTATTTTCCGTACAGGTATGAAATTATTAGGATGTGATATCGGTAGCCCAAGTTTTGCAGGCCGACCATAGATATCAGGTGTGCGTCGGCAGGGGATCGAACCTCGGACCATTTGCATGGTCGGCTAGAGTCCTAACCACTGTGCCACCGACGCACAGTTCTATTATTTTTCACTTGATTTTCGCTTGACTTGATTGGTAGTAGTATTTTCCATATTTCGGCTATGATTGATGAATGATTCCTATCGCATTTGTTGGGTGTAGACTCGATGAACCAGGAAGGATTCAGTCATCAACTGACCCAATTAGACAAATAATAGTATAATTTACAAAATACCCTGCAATGACTGTGAGTGAAGTCAACTACATCGGTCAAACCAGTAGATCAGGGGTAGTCAGATTGTCGGAACATAAGAATTTAGTGGCTAAGGTAAGAATGGTTGACCCCGAGAAGATGAATAATTTAGAAAAAAGCTCAGCTATAGGACTGCATACATTAACGCACAACCACACAATAGAGTGGGAGAGGGTTAAGATTCTAAGAAGTAATCTAGGTAGGTGAAGACAGGTGGATTTACTGAAACTTTGCTCATCGAGTCTACACCCCACACGCGCAACAGAAGTGACTCATCACTCATACCGGAAATATGGGAAATACTACTACCAACAAAATCAAGTGAAAGTCAAGTGACAAACAATGGAACTATATAAATGAAGTTAGGAAGTCGTGTGATTAGTGCCTTGATATGATTATGAGCGGCAGTAAATTGTGCTCGACACCTTGTCATCAGTAAATATTACTGTATAACAAACACACTGTGAGACTTTATCAAAACAAAATTTTACCCATAATGGAATTACACTCTACCACATTGCACAAGTTTTATTCTTTTCCTTTTTGTTTTTGTATATACACATTGTGGATCTGTTTTAATCTTCTTTTGTTATCGTTCTTATTTCAGGAAACCGGCATTGAATACAACATCAACGGTGAAAGAAACACTTGCTTCAAAGACAACCAATAATAATAATGTAAATGGAAGACCAGCTTCAACAAGAAATATTTCATCATCATCTCCCTTACATCAAAAGCCAGCGACTACAACAACAACGACAACGTCTACAAAATCACCTTTAACAGCGCCTACATCAAAGAAACCAATTCATGAGAAAACTACACCAGATGCTAAACACCATGTGAATAATTCACATGGGGGTGGTGCTATCGACGCGCATCAAAAACGTCCAACTTCATCAACACTACTCGAGGCAAAGAAGACGACGAAACCCTTTACAACATCTACTAAACAACAACCGTCTGTATCAGAGTTGACGAAACCATCTTCAAGACCATCAACTGCAGCGAAGTCAGCAGCAACACTGGCCAAGTCAAAACCTTCACCGACTACAACTACTACCACTGCTGAACGCTTGGCGGCACATTCTAATCTAGTTAACAGTACTACTAATAATAATGCGGCAAAGTTGCATACACGTAAAACAGAGCCTACAACACACTCAACATCGTCAAATAAACTACCAGTAAAGAAATCTACTATAACTGGTGCAAAGTCGAATCATCATGCTCCTCCTCCTCCTCCTTCTAAACCTATCACTGAAGAAGCAGAACTAATACCTGCTGGAACTGCTGAATCTAAAGATGAGATAAATGGTATCAGTGCTCCTGTTGCGGTTGGCATTGCTACCGCGGCGGCAGCGGTAGGAGTGACCGCAGCAGTAGCTGCTACTGCCACTGCTCTACCACATGCTACACAGAATGATACACTTCAATCACCTTTGAATGATTCACTTGAATTAGCCTCTGTTGATCCTTTGCTTAGTGGTTGGAAAGGTTCCGCTGAAGATGATGATAATCAGGAGAAAGATGTTGATGTACAAGGTGATCATCAGAATTTGTCAGTTATCGATGATAAGGAGGTGTTAACAGCTGAGGTGAATAAATTCATAACTGATGAACAAATATTGATTAAGGATACAGAACAATCACAACCACAACCAGAAGAAGACATTCAACAAGAGTCAATGGCGCCGCCACCACCACCACCAACAGCAACAACGACAACAGTAGGAGGAGGTACAGGAGAAGAAGAATTATACAAAGTTCACAAGGTGATCCAAGAGAATATGATGTTAGCTGAAGAATCTGATGAACAATTGAATCATGAATATGAAAGTGAAAATGAAGCAAAACAACCGTCATCACATCACGAGGAACATGAATCTGAAGTAGAAGTGGAACAACACGATGGGGAATTTAAACAATCGTATAATGATTCATTAGTTGATGAAAGCGAAGATTTAAATGCAAATGTTGTAGTCGAAGCAGAAGAAGAAGTCGAGGAAGAAGAACAGCACCTGCAACACTACCAACAACAACAACAAGCACCACTACCACAGGAACAAGGAAGTCTATACGCTTGCGATCATGATGATATGAGGACTGAAGAGACTACTGTGCCTTATGAAAAAGATATTTCACCAGAAATTGAATCCAATCGTGTAGAAATGATGCAACAATATAAAACACCATTTGACGATGTGGATCCCGGAGTAGAACAAAACCAGCCAATGGAAATAGCAAATGACGACAGATCTCATTATATAGTAAATAATAACTTTGTCCAGGATGAAAATCAAGGCGGTATCGAAGCTGAACACGACAATGACCACCATCATCATCATCATCTGCAGGATGATATTGATGATGAAGATGAGGTAATTATTCATACTTCTGAGGATCCTACTCTCGAAGAATATCAACTACAACAGCAACAACAAGATGAGGAAGAACAACTCGCGAAGCATTTCAATGTCAATGAACATGGAGGAAATCAAGGGTATATGTATACGCCGACATCATTACCTGTATGTATGATTGAAGATAATAATAATAATAATGATAATAACAATGTAGAACCACAAGAAAATATAATTGATTATAATACTACTGAAAATGTTATAAGTAGGGAAGAAATTACTGTGAAGGATAATGCTGGTAGTGGTGATGATGCTTGTGGTGATGAATCAAGTTTCAATGAAAGTTACTATGTTGCTAATAATTCGTATTTCGCGCATACACCACTTGGAGATACTGTATTGTATGTTGGAGAGGGGAAAGATCCACGAGAAAGAGAAGAACAATCGGGAGAAGTATTTGGAGAGGCAGTTGAGGTTGAAGAGGAGACTTCATATTTAGATCAGACATGTGTTCACGAAGAAGAAGAAGAACAAGAAGAAGGAGGGGTAGAGGAACAAACTCATCCTGATGTAGCGATCAACAATAATGAGTCACACCTGTTAGTAACCGATGAAATGATGAAGCCGACTGATAGTGATATTGATGTGGTCTCTTCTGATATACCCTCTCATATGATGACTATGATGACGACGCCAACAAAAGAAGAACCAATTGCAGAAGAGGAAGTAAGGGCATCAGATCATCCTGCTGAACCAGAAGAAAACGGAGGAGAACACAGAGAAGGAGACGTTGAAGTAATAACAGGGAATCATCATGTAGAATCTGCTGTACCACATTCTGAAGAAGAATATCCGTTCGATTCTAATGAACAGGAGAAATTGCTTCATCAAGTTGAAGGACAACCACCACAACACCATCAAGAAATCGAAGAAGAAGAAGACTTCGAGAATGAAGATGGGAAATCAGATATTGACGAAATGGAGACAGAATTTGTTATAAAATATCAAAAACAACCTCAACAAGAACAAGAACACGTCATGCCTACTACTACTACTACTCATAATAATAATAATGAAGACATGCCAATAAATTATACTCATCCAACATCGATTGAAGAAGTTTATCCAGTAAATCAATATACAAATGAATTTGAACACTATTCAAATCAACCGGTTGATTATGAATATACAGGGAATGTTATGCTGCCATCAACTCAGACAATGAACGCTTATCCTGTTGATTCAAGTACTGATAACGATCAAGGATTACGTGATGATTATTCGCCTTCTAGTTTATGTGAAGAGACGAAGAAGGCCAACGATGAACAACAACAACAACACACCGATATGTTGATAGTGACAGACGAGTCTGTTCAAAAAGTTGATTCTACTACACATGATGATTCATCATTATTGATTAATCATGAAGGGCAGAAATTTGATGACAATCAAATTGATGATATATATCAACCGGAGGATAATATTACGGCGACTACTACTACTACTACAGGTTTACTTGTTGATACTGCAGAAACTATCACTGAATGTCAACCGTAAGTTAATTTTACCTTATTTAAGTGTTGGTTTGCAGAGATTTGATTGGTTACATGATTTCATCATCAGCTGACATTATTTAGGGAACCATTGGACAACCTGGGAGTACTGGACAGCTGTTTCGACCTAGTTTGGGACTCTTCAGCAGTACGCACCTACCACATGGGTTCGAACCCAGGACCTCCTGGTTACAAGGCGAGCTCGTATACCAATGGTCAGCTCATTAATTCTAACTTCTGCCAATTCACGACATAGCGCGACCGCTAGCCAATTTCTTCGGCGAGTATTTGTTCTCACACCCGACCGGCTGCAGCCTACTGGTCACGATTTCTTACTAGAACTCCAGGTAATTACCTACCTGAATAGGGCAAGTGGCTAGTGAGCATCTCATCGATATTCAAATGTTGGTTTGTAGGGATTTGATTGGTTACTTTTATTTGCATCACTTTTTTTTCTTCTTTCCTCGTTTTCAGAGTCGGGTTTCTAGCGTCACACACACACACACACTTAGTCTTCCCTTCTTTCTTTCCCTGGATCACTAGTTTCAAGATAAGGTTTCAGCGAGGAATTGGACCCTTACCTCCCAGTGAGCATCCCACCATTCGACCACCGAGATTCGAACCCGCATCACCCAGTGCTGCAATCAGAGATGTTGCCACTGAGCTATTCGGGCTTGAGATTGACCTCCTGTAGGACTGTAGTGGATATTTTGATTTGATACTAGTAACTAGTGTGATGTGTCTAGTCCTCTCTTTGGTGCAGACTAAATTCTATCAGTCAGTTAGGTTTGCAATGTGGACACCGTTCTAAGTCGCTCGCCATCACGGTGCACATTCATTTGATGATATTTGATGGTTGGAGGTAATCGGCAGGAAGCCCTAACTGACCTAGGTTTCGTGCTAGTTGGCACTTATCAGCAAGGCGTATATGCAACGTTGAAGCAACTCATGTCCCTTCTGAGATTCGAAACCGCGTCACCCAGTTCAGCAGTCAGAGACGTTACCACTGAGCTATTTGGGTTGACGTACTGAAGATAGAGATTAGTGGGAACAGTTGTTTCGGTCTAGTTTTCAACTCTTCAGCAGCACATATCCTTAACTCTACCAACAAGTAAATCGACGATATTCAGGGCTGTAAGACAAGCTTGTTGACAGTTTAAACTCCCATCGGTTAGGAGTTTGGAGTTTTGGTTAGAGGGTTTAGTCATTAATCATAATGATTAGATGTTTGACACTGGTTAATCCTTTAGTAACCAATTCATGTATTCACTAAAGTCTGCCCAAATTTCTCTTGATTGCAACGCGGGGTGAGGGATGCGGGTTCAAATCTCCGAGGTAGACACCAGCTGCTTTAAGGTTACAGACTCATCTTGTTGAGGAATACTTACAAGGATGAAGCCTGTGTCATAAGTTTCTTAAGTGTATCCATTTGATGTTATTCTGTTTATGCGTTAATCGCATGAACCTGTTTTTGTTGCCGGAGAGCGTGAAAACCCGGCTGTTAACATTATTCTGCAGTCTTTCTGGTCGACCTGCAAGTCTAATCGATAAGAAAGTGGTCTTTTTAAGACAATCATCAACTATCTGCTTCGCTATGAATGAGTGTCCGGTTAGTACCTCAGCTCTCACAGATGTGGGGAGCATCTCTTAGTGAACATATTATTGGTAGCTTCGTGTTTTTCATAATTAGTCAGGTAACCCTCATTCATCCGGTTTTCTAATTATCTTAATCGCAACCCCCCACCACCACCACTGTTTGAAGTGGAGTGACATTGTTAGTATAACGTATTTTAAGACAACTGTTATTCAAATAATGATACTTGTGAAATTATACTCGGTTAGTATTACATAATGACATTACATCATATTGGAGGTAGCATATCTCCAACTGTGAGTGTAACTTTTAGTAGTTTCTGATATCAGAGTGTTAGTTTGGAACGGTTTGATCATAAGTTGATGGTATTGAAGAACCAACTGAGAGTACTGGACATTTGTTTCGTCCTCATCTGGGACTCGTCACCAGTACGCAACCACTGAAATTCGAACCTAGCATCTTCCGATTACAGGGCGAGATTAAAGACCATTCAACTCCCTGGGATCCTTATCCAATGGCCCGTGAATCCGAAATTGTCACTTTTAGTAGGATCCACCAAGTCTAGTAAGAAAACAATTACTCGCCTTAAGACACTGACTGGCGTCGTTGCGCCATATTTCACGAATTAACAGAAGTTACGATTCATGGACAGGCCATTGGATTTGGTTCCAATGACTGAATGCTGAATGGTCTCTGAACTCACCTTGTAACCGGAAGGTTTTTGCTTCGAACCTTGGTATTGGGTGTGCATTGCTGAGGAGTCCCGAAGTAGGGCGAAACAGGTATATTATTATATCCAGTATATCTGAATACTTCTCGTTCTAATCACTGTGTCACCATATGAGTGAATTTTTTCTCTCTTATGTTGCTTTCTCACACCTGAAAATATTCTCATACAACTTTTTCACATAAGGTGTTTACATTTTGTAACGGACGGAAATAACTTCAACTCCCACTGAATAAAGCTGTCATCATATGTGAAAAAAAGGGAGTGTATATAAACGATAGTGATTTTTGTATTCCCCCCACCCTACTAGTCCTGTCTGATGATTTAATCTCACCATATCATATTATCAGATCAATGTTGATCTCTATTCCTACTACTACTATTACTATTATTGTTATTATTATTTTTGTAGGCACGTATGAGTCTTATCTAAAGTTCCTCGTGTTATCTGTTATGATTTATCAGTTTTCACTGCTATTTACAGACACAAACACACACACACACTGTCTCTCTCTCTCTATCTCTTTCAACGTGGTCGTTGTCTTTCATTAAAGTATAATATTTCTTTTTTAACATGCAATTTTTAATCCAATGGATTTCTTGTCTCTTCTTCTCATGAGGGTTGTGTTGTCTTGTGTTCTATGTGTGTGTGTGTATGTATGTATGTGTGCTTGTTGTTTTGGTTGTGCTGTGTTGTGTATTACGTCGTCAGTCTTCAAATGTTTTCAGTGAGTTTAACAATATTGATTTCTCCTTGTTGTTCTTGTTTTACAACACATATGCCTGCGTCATATATATATACGTTATTATTCACTTTCTTCATATACGCTCGAGCGCTGTAGGTGTGTTAGTCGACTGTCGGATTACTCAGCGAGTCGATCAGTCAGTCTGTCTATCAATGAGTGAGTGAGTGAGTGAGTTTGTCAGTTAGTCATCTATTGGATTCTCTCTCTGTTTCTCTTCATACCCGAAATACCCCACCCCCCCTTTTAAAATGAAATGTTTTGAAGTATAACAGTGTGAAATCGATAAAATGAACATGCCTATAGAAGTGTGATAGATTGATAAAACTTCTTCATACAGTCAATCCCTAGCGAGTATCAAATCTGATCACAGATTGTTGTGAGTTAGAGAATCATTGAAAACCATCCAAGAGGTTGCTATCTTGTATAGCTGATTCTTGCTAGTTTGGGACTCATTCAAAGTGCATACCCACTAGGGTTCAAGTCAAATAGACGATTCAGATACACTGTGATCTCTGACTCAATAGTCTATGAATTCTAACTCCCACTAATTCATGACTGTAGTGCTATTACTGTCGATCAGTCCCAGACTAGGCCGGAACAGCCGGATGTCCAATACTCCGAATTGGTTTTCAGTAGTTCTCTAACTTGCGGCAATCTGTACTCAGACTTAAAACAGATCAAACCCCTTTAAAAAAAACTCGTGAGAAATAATATGAGACAATTTTAATTGAATTTGAGATTTTCTCGTCGATTGATTGCACCAAAGTGCTCAGTCTCAGGTTGACTGTCTGTCGGCTTCTTGTGCACATGCTTCGACGATGTCTGGACATTTAATTTGTATTTAATTGGTGGATGGTGACTAGCAATGGAATCCAGTCAGGATGCGCATTTCGTCCTATTTGGGACTCGTCAGCGCTTCTCAGTGAGTGATGATGTTCCCACCGAGGCCACACCAATTAAATACTAATTAAATGCCCAGACATCATCGAAGCATCTGCACAAGAAGCCGACATGTCAACCTGAGACAGAGCACGTCGGTCCAATCAATCGACGGGAAAATCTAAAATTCAATTAAATAATTAATATGACCCGTTGCACAAGAGGTGGCTCTCATGGCCTAAGTGGTCTAGTGGATAATGCTTTGGCGTTTGAGACTATGGGTACTGGGTTCGAGCCTCGGTGGGAACATGATCACTCACTGGGGAATGCAGGTACATCCAGCTGGAGGACGAGTCCCAAATGGGACGAAATGCGCGCTGTCCTGGATTCCACTGGTAGTCACCATCTACCAATTAAATATTAAAAGACAATGTTAGTTTTGTGTGATGTCTGTGAACAATATGTATTTCATAAGTGAATTTCTACAGAAAAAGGGTTGTTAAACTTATTTTCAATTGCTTGACATACTGTCATGAATCAACATGACGTTTAGAGAGATCACTTAAAAAAATCAGGATGTAATACTGAAGAGTTAGCTGTTTCGTCCTATTTTTTTGGGGCTGTCTTCATCAATGCACTCACTCAATGGCCCGCACCGCTAGCGACCGAACCCCCGAGATGTTCTGGTTATGAGCCTGATCCCTGCTGTGCTGCCTATGGTTGAAATCATGCTGCGTAGTAGTACTTGGTTTAGCATGAAAATCAAACATTTTATCAATAATGCAGCTTTGCTAAACTACATAGGTGTGTAATATAGATCTGCAAAACAAATAATGCGTGGGCGTTATACACCAATTACAATGAAGCTTACAAGTAGTGCACTTAGTACACTATGAGTAATTAATCATTCATCATAATCGTCATCATTGATTGGCTGATTCATTGATTATTTGCTTAATTGCTTTGCATATTTATTCCTAATATACTACTGCTAACATTGCCTGTTATTTCAGTAGTATGTGGGTATTTTGCGAAGTTAAAGTTGGTATCATAA